AAAACCTAAGTGATCTGCGTGTTTTTAGAGTATATGGTACAAATGTACGTTATTGTCAGAGGTATCTCCTCCTCTGACAGGTTCGAACTAATGTATACATAAACTGTCATAAATGGTATCTTCGGCTTGGCTAGCTGACTCCAGTTATAAAACTTCATGAGCATGTAATGCTAATTGAATCAATTGCTGAGTAGATAAACAAATGCGAGCTCTATAACGAAGCCTGTAACTTGTGTTTAACACACGTGTTCTGTCTGTCTGTAACTTGTGTCATGCCGTGTTCTTATACTGTTTTACACACGTGTCTGTCTGTCTGTTACTTGTGTCAAGCCGTGTCCTTACTGTTTTACACCCGTGTTCTGTCTGTCTGTATCTTGTGTCATGCCGTGTCCCTACTGTTTAACACACGTGTTATGTCTGTCTGTACCTTGTGTCATGCCGTGTCCTTATACTGTTTAACACACGTGTTCTGTCTGTAACTTGTGTCTTGCCGTGTCCTTACTGTTTTACCCACGTGTTCTGTCTGTCTGCAACGTGTGTCATACCGTGTCCTTACTGTTTAACACCCGTGTTCTGTCTGTCTGTAACGTGTGTCATGCCGTGTCCTTGCTGTTTAACACACGTGTTCCGTCTGTCTGTAACTTGTGTTATGCCGTGTCCTTACTGTTTAACACCCGTGTTCTGTCTGTCTGTTACATGTGTCATGCCGTGTCCTTACAGTTTTACACACGTGTTCTGTCTGTATGTAACTTGTGTCATGCCGGGTCCTTACTGTTTAACACACGTGTTATGTCTGTCTGTACCTTGTGTCATGCCGTGTCCTTATACTGTTTAACACACGTGTTCCGTCTGTCTGTAACTTGTGTTATGCCGTGTCCTTACTGTTTAACACACGTGTTATGTCTTTCTGTAACTTGTGTCATGCTGTGTCCTTACTGTTTTACACACATGTTCTGTCTGTCTGTTACATGTGTCATGCCGTGTCCTTGCTGTTTAACACACGTGTTCCGTCTGTCTGTAACTTGTGTTATGCCGTGTCCTTACTGTTTTACACACATGTTCTGTCTGTCTGTTACATGTGTCATGCCGTGTCCTTATACTGTTTAACACACGTGTTATGTCTTTCTGTAACTTGTGTCATGCTGTGTCCTTACTGTTTTACACACGTGGTCTGTCTGTCTGTAACTTGTGTTATGCCGTGTCCTTACTGTTTAACACACGTGTTATGTCTTTCTGTAACTTGTGGCATGCCGTGTCCTTAATGTTTAACACACGTGTTCTGTGTGTCTGTAACTTGTGTCATGTTGTGACCTTACTGTTTAACACACGTGTTATGTCTTTCTGTAACTTGTGGCATGCCGTGTCCTTAATGTTTAACACACGTGTTCTGCCTGTCTGTAACTTGTGTCATACCGTGTCCCTACTGTTTAACACACGTGTTATGTCTGTCTGTACCTTGTGTCATGCCGTGTCCTTGCTGTTTAACACACGTGTTCTGCCTGTCTGTAACTTGTGTCATACCGTGTCCCTACTGTTTAACACACGCGTTCTGTCTGTCTGTCTGTAACTTGTCATGCCGTGTCCTTACGAGCATGTAATGCTAATTGAATCAATTGCTGAGTAGATAAACAAAGGCGAGCCTGTAACTTGTGTTTAACACACGTATTCTGTCTGTCTGTAACTTGTCACACCGCGTCCTTACTGTTTTTCACACGTGTTCTGTCTGTCTTTAACTTGTGTCATGCCGTGTCTTTACTGTTTAACACAAGTGTTCTGTCTGTCTGTTACATGTGTCATGCCGTGTCCTTACCGTTTTACACGCGTGTTCTGTCTGTCTGTTACTTGTGTCATGCCGTGTCCTTACCGTTTTACACACGTGTTCTGTCTGTCCTATAAGCTCATGCACGTGCTATGTGTAACTGTCCCTGTCGTTAACCTGTGTTAACTTTCGGTCTGCGATATTATACAAAATTTAGATTGTTGATAGCAAAGTTAGATTCATATTGGTGTAATGAACTCATGAGAAATATATAAAAAGAAAAAGGAGTAATAGGGATTAGTATAATCACACAAATGTAAATGCTCACAAGTAACTGGAAATTCAAGTAGAATCGGCGTTTAGGGTTATTTATGCATCCCGATACTATATAGCGTTATAGCCATAAAATTGCGTTTTTTACACCCAGATCCTGCTTATTACAGATATATATCATTACACCTGAATGCATGCTCCTATGTGTGACAACTTTCCAGTTAACTATAACCTGTAATACCCATTGTAGACATGATTTTTGTTGTGTAGCTAGGCGTTCACAAATGAATTTTTCCTCGTAATTAATTTTAAGACATATGTAAGGGATTAAGATCTAGGTGACAGGTCAAAAAGTCAGGGACCACAAGTTCTTTTCCCCATCGATTTCAATCACTAATTACACACCGAGTATAATGATAGGTTTATGTTAGACGGTTGCTATTTCTGTCCTGTGCCTCGGTAGCGACTGTTAATTATCGCCGGTAACGATGAGGACACGTATCAATACGTCGACGTCAAAGGCCCTTTATCCGGAGGTCCAGGTGAACACCGATAGTGTAATTTCCCTTTACATAGACGTATCTAATTACAAGCATGTTTCGTTAACAGATCGAAAATATATAAAACGTCTGAATGATATACATTGTGGGTATCATTAACAAACTCTCATCAACTAAAAATAAGGCTGATATTTGTACCTATCTTGTGTATTAAGCAGGCTGTACTGCACGTGTGTATAGCTTGATTTAGTTTTACTATAGTTCATTTTCATAAAAACAGCGTTTCCTTCCTTTTTAATTTCAAAAGTAATGCAGAATATAATTTCTAAAGTTGACTTCATTCGCTTAAATTTGCTCAAACTATATGAATGTCCTATTGATAAAAAATATGAAATATCAAGTTAGATACGTTCCACGTGATTTACAGACTGGATCCATTGTCGATGTGTCAATCCCTCGTACTGTTACAGTTATAAAGTCAAGCGATCGACTTTTCGTTACATTGGTATTTATTATGTTGTGACATGTAATGTCTCCGGAACATTGCACTGGAACATCAGTTGGCCTACATAAATAAAACTGTCAACAAGACAATTGAGTGTCTAAGTCGTGTGTAGTGACACAAAGTATGATAGGGACATACAAACATACATCGATAACATAAGTAAATCAAATATTTATATTTCATTGTATAAATAGGATTTTTCTCGTGATGTTGGAGTCGCCATGTTCGTGTATCTTCTCTATAATCACAGGTGATTGTCTCGTTTTCATTTTTCCACTTTTTCAATCGTCCACTGTTCTGTCAATAGATTGTCCTAAATCTTACTTGTTACTCACACATTCCTCTTGTCCCTTTCCATACGCTGCCAGTTCAGTACACGAAGCTGCTTGACCTCTCCTTCTTGACTTTAACTAATGGTCATTTGCTGACACTTGAACTCTGCCTATCTAAAGGCATGCTTCTTCTTTGATATGAATCTTTATGATACTGTCATAAAATATATTTGATTTCGTTTAATACATACAAGTATAAATCCCTGAATTGTGAAACTAAGAACAAAATATCAATAACATATTAAAAAAAAATATGAAACTTCTATTTTTGATTAAAGGAATGTCGAAATGTTAGAAGAGATCGTTAGTTCGAAAAGCTCGATATTTTAATGAAATCACTATTTTAGTTGTCTCCGTTAGCGACCTCACATTATGATACAGTGCACATTGTTCAGCCATCTATATTTACAATTATATGTATCCAGTAATAATTTTGTTAGATAAACCTTTTAATCTTTGTATATTTTAGACAATGAAGTACTTGTTAAGTTACCTTAGAACCGAATTGTTAAATAACCGAGATGGATGGAACATTTTTTTTTACGGAAACTAATAACAATATATCAAATAAGGTATACAGGTGCTGAAATTAGTAATAAACCAGTTGGGCATTGTATTTCAGTGAGATAGCACTAAAATGTCGGCATCAGATCCGTGCTATCACAAGGAGGCAAGTACACGAACACACCCGGTCTCCGGACATATGTACAGTCTTGATGGTTGCTATGTTTCGTACACTTGACTTGCTAAGTGTCAACGATCTCGAGTCTCTTTTTGATGACCTTACCTGACATAGACCATTGTCACTCGGCGTGTAACGTACACGTGAACTGAAGATTACTTTATCCAAACACAAACCCCTATTTATGTTGTAATTTGTGATATCAAACTAAATACGCTCTGTTTACCTTGGATACTTGTCAGACAGGTGATTGTTTACACATCATATAACCATGCTCAGCCCTTTATGATTCGTATTCCACCTTGGGTCCTAACGTACAGTAATTGGAACAAAGGGATATTTCTAGCGAAATGAAATATGATTCTCGGTAAGAGTACATATATCTTTCGTAGACGAACTGGTAAACTAGGATCTTACATTTTAATGTGAATAAAATGTGTGTGTAAATAGCCTACATGTTTGCAAATGTTAAGAAAACCCGCATAAAATATGGATAGTGTCGTTTTCAGCTTTCAATAATAATAATGATGTTGGTACATTTTCTTGACGAAATCCCGTTCTGAGCTACAATAATTAAAGCCATCTGTATGAAGAAAGTATTGCTTTGGAATAAAAGTATTGCTTTAGAAAGCAATAAAGTGTTTACATTGATGTTCCAAATCTCCGACGCAATAGTATATAGATTGTCTTTGATGAACAGGCACAGCGGCGTGACCTATTGCTATACGGCAGTGTAAGGAGAGAAATTAAAACCCTGCAATATTTGCATAAATAAGTATATTTAGAATGGGTATACTTGTATAGAAGGTACACAATCATTCCATCGTAATCGATCGTGTGCGGCTGTAGTTTTGTCTTCAGACGGCCGCCATGTGATCTAAATCAACAAATGTTAGGTTGATTGTAGGACTTACACAATACTTGTATTCACTTATAAAGAATATACTACATTTGATCCAAACGTTTTTTGGATAAAGAATAATAGAGTTGTGTTCGGATTGCGCTTATTCACCGGGATCGTTTACCTATACCGCAGACTACCTAACAGATGTGGGTTTGTTCACTCGGGCCAGTTAATGAAATAGTTTGAGGATGAAATACCACTACATGACATTTAATTTTTGTTTTAGAGTTGTGCTGGTAGACGGTGCAGCCGTACCTCTAGTCGATGGTGGTACCTATCGTCACATCTACAATGGAGGTGCACTGGTGCAGAGGGGCCATGTCGACTTTAAAGGGCAATATTGTTGGACCACATTGTGAGTGTTAATACGCTTTCTGCAATACCTGAGGATTATTACATATTCACCTTGTATGTGAACTCGAGTCGCTTGATAACAACGATGACTGAATGCAGTGTACAGAGACAATATTAACCCAACAGACACATGTATTATACCAGTCTGTATCAGCTATACGACCATACGTAGGCAGACATGTGCGGTCTCCGCTCACGAAAAAAAGGACATTCTTGGACAATGTCGCATATTTCGACTTTTACGTGTACAACGATTTTGTAAGTTTGTGATTCAAAAGTATCACGTTACTTCGACTCTTTTAAAGTGTTGTTGACTGTTTTAAAGATGACCAAGCGATCAGTCTTGATATGACGTCATACGGAAAGGCAGTTATGTGATACATGGATCGTACGTCCTCGACATAATACTGTAACGTCCTGTGTAAGTTTAAGGATTGATTAAAACGTATTTGATGAGCTCCACGTCATGACCGTCACATCAAGTCTCCCTGGATACACCTCCTACCTACCTCCACGGGTAGTTGACGTCCCTCGGGAAGCCATCCGAAGCTTCCACCATTCCAAGAAAGTCGGAAACTATTTACTTGGGAAGACTATTGGAGAAGGATCCTTCGCCAAGGTCAAGGAGGCTCTTCACGTACCCACAGGGGAACTGGTAAGTATAGGCCTTTGGTAGGCACGCCAAAAATACGTGTATTTTAGGATTCTTATTCTTTTGATCTTCAGACGGAAACACGTATTTGTTACGTAGGAATTGTTAATGCTGTTTACATTCATCCATGTTGTATTGCAGTAGCATTCACTCTATCAGAACCCGTTTTTACTGCTGAATCAGTACTTAACCCACTACACGAAAATATTAAAATGCTCCTCTCTGATTAATGAAACGATTTGGAAACAACTACAGTCTGAAAAAAAAGTCTACAGAGAGAAAAGTGGTTATAGGTGGGTGAACGAGATGAAAGTGAATATCATAAATACACTTAAGACATTGTAAAATGTAATTACAGAGATGTAAGTAGTAAGTATATTTCAACAAACAGCTACTCTACATTTTGTAATGACAACTGAATTCAAATCATGTTATCAGGATGTCGTAAGAAAAATGACGTCAGAAATATTAGAGTAGGGTCGACTGTTTTTCATTAGGACTGTTACCTTTGGAATATGTTCATTGTATACTTCCGTAATTGCCATCAATGTCGACGTCACAATAATAATTTACCCAGTAAACGATGCCATACTTCCAACACATCAACAAGAGAGAACACGTTAATATGATTTAATAGTATTCCGTCAATACACAAACTAAAATTTTATGTGGTCATTGTGTATATTTTAAATATGATTTATTTATATTGATCGTGCATGGTAATTAGGTTATTCATGAACCAGAAACATTTTATTTCCAAGTACATTACTGGGTATAGACTAGATGACAACAGTTCACATTATGTATGTTAAAAATCATATTTTTTTCTAATCAGTTGAGCATATCAACGATATAGGGACGCTACAGTTCGAAAAAAAGACCTAAATGTACCCTATTTAGCATTGGTCCTTCGTGTTCACGCCTGTCTATTGGTTTATACGATCTCCTTTATACAAATATTGTATTCATTATAATTCATTTTGGTGTTGTTCAATCTGGTTTTTAGGTGTGGATTTCCAATACAAAATATTCCTTTTAATCCACTAGCCTTCAATGTGTACCAAAACGGTTTTTGAGGTTTAATTTATATTTAACCTCGAAACATAATAAATTTAATTTCATCGTATTAATATCTTTATACAGTTAATTGCCTACAAATCAAATTTCTTTATCTATATTTAAAAACGTTCAATTCAAAATAATCAAATTTCATTTAAAACAAAATTATTATCAATTGTAAGGCACGTAGGTTCGCACAACATCACATTCAAAGAGTTAACATGTAATTATATGTTCTGCCAACCTAGGAATACAGGACTTTTTATACCAAGTTTGTTTAAACGTCCGTAGCTAAGGTAATATAGGAAAATACGTTACAGCGGCGTCAATACACTGCGAATGATATAGTTTTATTTTAATACGAAAAGACATTAGCTCGAACCGAAAATATGTCAAAATGAGAGTTAACAACCCACCATCACCACGGAAGATCAGAGGCGGTATCTCGTACATGTATGTCATTCATTAGGTAAAATGTTTACATGCTTCATACGTTAGCGGAATCAAGTCGTGTGTACATTTTATGTAAATAAAACAGCAATGATTTCAACTTTTACATAGGCATGTTTGTAGAACGGCTACTTATGGCTATGTTTGACTTTCTACCTGCCAATTTCCTCTCGTTTGTTAAGGTTGGGCGGACAAACATTTTATGTCTAATTATATTCTGTATATATTTTAAACCAATTCACAATGTTGATTTGACCTCTTTGTTGTTACGATGTATATCTATGTTACATTTAAAATCACATTTAATCCATTATGAGGTTTGGATCCAACATAGTGTCGCTGTTATAAAGCACTGTACTACTAGAAAAATCATAAGCTATCTGTGGGATTCTTTTTTCATTTGTGTCTCTTTTCTACCGACAGTTAGCGACACAGTATGTACAACCCGATCATATTCAAACATTTGTTATTCACGACGTCTCAATGGAGCTGTCATTCCAAAGGAATCTTCATTGGTCCATTTGTACCACAAAAAAACCTTTTATATATACTATGCATTCTGTGGTCCATTAACAGGTTTTTTTCTTATTTATGTTAGTATATTTACAAACCCTTTGAGTTGGATATGTGCTTTTAGTACTGCCAACTTTGATATTGGACCTTTAATTCATTATTAACCTCAATATAAAATAAATGATGCAGACGTCAGTGTGACAATACAACAACAATTAAACTATAAATATTATCCCGAATCAACAAAAGATTGAACAGCTATATAATGAATTGAAGTATGTTTAAATCCCGACAGCCAGGTATTGTATATGCGTTTGATAAGATATTCTCCCGCAGAGCTTATGTAGGAATCCCTTTGTCCTTATTTATCTTGCCCTCACTGCCTAGATGAAGGCAGACTGAAAGGGAAATCAAGTAGTGTCATGGTCGGGCTTATATCTCTACACGGTGTGGGTATAGGCTTTACTTATCACCAGATGCCTTTGTATTTTTGGACAGCATATTGATAGGTCATATGTTCATCAATAATCTGTCGATGTAATCTCTAAAAGCGTCATTTTGTAGATAGCATATTAATCTTCAACTTTAAATTGAAAAATCCTTCTTCATTCACTTTCATTACCTATATAGTACTTGCCCTCGAATTTGTATTGCGCGTTAGCTATATATATAACATTCTTATTGTTTAACTTTGTCATTCTTTAAACAATTTTTTCAAACATGTCGCCATTACGTCAGAAAGATATGAAAAACAGAAACCCACAGACAAGATGCAGCAAAAAATCCCCAATTAATTGTGCCTGATTCTTAACCGGTTCCATTAAATACTTAAAATATTCATCTCGAGATAAACTATATTTGTTTGTGTTTCCAGTAATACCATCCTATTATGCTTTCAAGCGCAATAGAATGTGTACATAGACTGTTTTTGACAGTTAAACAGTTACAAATTGAACTAAACAGTAAAATGATATGACGTTAATTGTATATTAAACATAACCTCATTATCGAGATATTTAAATATCATGTGTGCGTACATGTATGAACTAGCATTAGCAGGGTTGTCATAAGATCTATCACTAAGGAGTAACATTTGAAATATATTTGCTTATGAATATATAATCCCTAAACAATTTGACATCGCAGATACTGTAAACATATAGGGTTTGTCTTGTTGTACACATATTGGGACAAACGGATATTACATGACACAGGACATGGGATTAATACCGGCAGAGTTCACCTGATACACTGGTAAGGTAACACCCAGTATCGTGTGATGTAGACTTGGCATTAATAACGGAACAGAACAATCAATCGTCATACTTTTCGTTACATATCAAATTATCGACACGCAACTGGTATATACCATACCCTTTGACTGATCTTGATATGATAAATGCATAGATAACAATACATGTGGATGAGCCATAAATTAACAATATAAACGAGCACAAAGGTGAATGTCTCCAATTATATTGGCTGTTCATAGGAAAAGAAAACAAAAGAAAACCAGACTAAAACCCCAATGCATTAGTAATAATGTAGCTAAACCGCTGCGTTTGTTTATTAACCGGATTACAAAGATAACTTTTAACAACTTTTCAAAATAATTACCTAACCTACATTTATCAAATGCTTACCTAACCTACATTTATCAAATAATTACCTAACTTACATTTATCAAATAATTACCTAACTTACATTTATCAAATGATAACCTAACCTAGTTATTAAATAATTACCTTACCTATATTTATCAAATAATTACCTAAATTACATTTATCAAATGATTACCTAACCTACATTTATCAAATGATTACCTTACCTGCATTTATCTTTTTGAGCCAACGTTAGTTTCAATTGTCCAATATTTTATGTAACAACTCGCCATTGCAAATTGTTTGTTTTGTTATTTTTTTTGAGTTTGTGTGTGCTTTTATTATAGGTGTAACTTTTATATTTATATTACTTCGATAAAAACATATTTTGCTATCTCCTGTTTTTTCAAAATGTTTTTCTTTTGTGTGTTTGAAGGTTGCCATAAAAGTAATTGATAAAAAGAGGGCGAAGCAAGACAGCTATGTCCGGAAAAATCTTAGACGTGAAGGTAAAATTCTTCAACTGGCAAGACATCCGAACATCGTACAGTTGTTTGAAATCATGGAAACCGAAAATAGCTACTACCTCGTGACTGAACTGTGTAAAGGAGGTGATCTTATGGACTATATTTGTCAGCGAAAGAAACTTGAAGAGAGGGAGGCAAAGAAATTTATTCGACAGATTGTTTCTGCTATTGAATATCTACACAGACTTGGGATACTGCACAGGTAACGATTATATGTATAAAGAATGATATAGAAGAATGCTTTGTAACAGTTTGAGTAAAGGAAAGGCAGACAAGTTTACACACTATGTATCATATTTCAGTCACACAATAAGTCTAAAATCTGCCGGAAAGTACTGTAAATTTATTGTACTTACTTAATATGGACATATAAGCAAAGCATTAATATTTTCCTCGTAACGTTATTAAGGTTACGTAAATTTTATATTAACTTTTGGTGTGCTGTTTTGCGTTTGTCTAGCGTTTGTTCGGTTAAAACATTTTACATTATTATAATTTGCTGATGATTTTTTCTGTAACCCTTGATGATTTTTTAAAGTGAGTGTAAGGTCTGCACATTATAACATCAAACGCAGGCTGTATTTGTTTGAAACATACCACAAAGGTATATTGTACCAAGAGAATGAAGAATGATTGTATATGCCTTCAAAGTATAAATACATTTAATAGTATTAAGCGAAATATGTATCATTTAACTTTGACAACAGGAACTGTTATGTAGTTAAGATGAAAAGGAACAAGCACATTCACTAAAAAACATTTAGATAAGACCGCTTGTTGTAAAATCATTACTGCTTGCAGATATTTAAATGTTGAGGTCGGATGTTTTGAAAAACCGTGAACATAGTTCAATGCTAACCAAATGTAACAAAACATTGAAATATCACCAATAGTTCTTCACTTTTCTCAACTAGGGGCTTCAGTTTAACAAACACCTCGTCGTTAAATAAACTTTATTGAAATGTTTAAAGAGTTTGATAATCCCCGATAATAATAGAGCAATGAAATGTTAAATGTATATTTTGAAGATAACATATTCTAAATATATAGAATGTGATACATATACGTGTATACATTTATCTTATTATATATGTTGCATGAAAGAGTAGGGGGTTTTGATTGAGCGAACTGCTTGAAGGGATTTTTTTTCCATTTAAATCTAAATAGCTTTTTAAGTCGTTTCTCGTCACTACTTTGTGATAAAATATAGTTGTTGCACCATTTCAATGCATTTACAAAATAAAAGTCAATTTCAAATTCATAATTTACTATGTTACCACAAAAGGAAACGATAATGCGAAGATTAAGTGTATTTTTCTCAATAAGTTTGTCATAGTTTGCAAACTATCAACTAAAGCCACATCTAAGCTGTAAACGACAAATAATAGTTTTAGTCCATCGTGCTAAGATTTTATCCTTTAGGCTTCGTAAAGAAGACAAATATTGTTTGATATCCGTATGTTAGGTATCCACCAACTCTTGTGAAAGGTAAGACATTCTAGACGCATTTAACATCAAACAGGAGAAGTATATTTTGACAGCAATTTTTATAAGGGATTATATTCTTTGCACTTTACGAAAAATGCAGTAAAAGCTCAATTTAACGATTTTAAATTGGACTGGCTCATTACGGTGTGTCTTTAAAGCAAAGAGCTAAAACCACACACACCAGCAAAGGCATCTCCTTGAGTCTTGTTTTACTGTCGTTCCACAACAGTCTTATCTTGATTTGTTGTATTGGTGTCTAGCTTTATAAGTGATCAATACGCTTTCAAACGTTAATCTTAGGGGTAAACAAGTTAATTATTTATACTTGCTTTGAGACCTGGAAGACCCGTAGTAAGTAGTGAGTTCTGTGCATAGATGTGCGCGTCTTGTTAACATCCATCTCTGTTTGCCTCAGTAGCACAATGCATTTCGAAGCTGTACTGTTGTAGACTTGCTCACAACTTCCAGAAACTTTTTTCAGTAGACTTATTAATACGGTAATATATAATGTGCGATACGCTAATAGAACCCCTCTAAATATGACTTTTTACTTCTTATTTTGTCTACCTGAAAGTATTTTTCAGTGTATTCCTACAGTGTTTTGATTATTTCATACAGATGTTATTTACCTATATGTCTATGAAAAAACAAATGAATGAGATATGCTGTCCCCGGTAATAGGTGTGTGTTTGCTTGTATTCAATACCTGAAAATGTTATCGTATTGCAGCCTATATATTTTGTAAAAAAATCACACATTAACTTTTTCCTCGAAAGAATGACAATGACGGACGACGCCGAGTATAGAATAAATATATCATGTAACCATAGTGTAAACTGGCCCAAAAATAATTCGAACAAAGCTTTTACAGTTCACTACTTTTATCGTGAAATATTTTGTAAATATCAGTGAAAGAGTTTCAGTTACGCTTTGTGAAATGACGTCACATATCACTAAGATTAATAAGATGTATGTTTATATGAACATGAATACTAAACATGTGTTTGATAAACTTTCAGGGATCTAAAAGTGGAAAATTTACTGCTAGATGAAAATCGTGACATCAAGATAATAGGTGAGTTCATCAATACAAATTTCCATATTAGTCCTTACTCCCAGATATAAGCCATGCTTCTATCGAAACGTTATGTAATGCTTGTTAATTGTCAATAAGGAATATGTCTACTTTCAAATGAAATGGTATGGATACTTAAAAGAACATCGTTACAATTTTGATATTATTATCTTGCATAACAAGAATCCCTTTCCTATTTTAGATTTCGGTTTGAGTAATACAATCAAGGTCTCTTCTTCTAAAGACTCTGTACGTGCGCAGGAATATTTAAACACACAATGTGGAAGTCCTGCTTACGCAGTACCGGAACTTCTTGGGCGTAAAAAGTATGGTCCTCAAGTAGATGTCTGGAGCATGTAAGTTTTCTTGTTTAACATTCCACAACATAAATATGACTACCCCATTCCCAATTTTGGCTAACCAAATGTAATCCATTTTGTCATTTGTCAATGAAAGACGGTTGCCTAGGGAGACATCGGCGATACAAATAAGGTTATTACATGCAGATAGAAATGATGCAGATGCGTTCAACAGAACTTCTTCCAAGTTTGCACAATCTTTGGTAAAACATACAGGACACGATGAGTTCAAATCGGGAAGTAACGCACTTTTTGTCTTTAAAAACATCTTCTGCTTCCGGTAATGTCTCAATTCTTAGACAAATAGGAAAAATTATATAACGGATAACCATTTTCATATGTATTTTATTTATATTTTTCATTTATTTTCAAAATATGCATTCCTTTCACATTCTAAAAAATAGAACTGAAACAGCAAATAATTAACACAGAACAATACCACGTCATCAATACACAGGGGATAAATTTTCAAGTCAATATAAAAAGCCAACAACGGGAACCTAGGAGACACCAAAACAAACAGATATCATGATCCCCAACCAAACAGTCAGGAAACAAAGCAAGTATGAACATGCAATAAAAAGACCATATGGATACAGTGATATAAAATATTTGTAACAGAAGTATTGTGTATGTTATTTTCCTCTTCGCTACAAATCATAAACCCCCACGAAAAAAGCCGGAAAACAAAATATAGATATATATATAGGTACACCGTACGCAGGAAATAAAAGCAATTTATCACTGCGAGCTAAAAGAGAGCGTAGGTGAATGAATACATTGATGTGAAATATCTATAACTGAGGTGTTGTTTCTATTTCTTACTTCTTCATTGCACACTATGGAATTCATGTCGCCTGTTTAGTGTACAGTCTACTGAGTTTCTGGGTCATTTTCTATATGTACGCTGCTAATGCGTACACAAATGCATAATTAATGAATGTCATGTGCATAACCCCGACCGTTTTAGTACTACCAAATAAATAATAAATGTAGAAACAAACCATAAGGTTCCATAGATACGATTTTTTTTATATCAATCACGTTTTAGTTTTTGAACCAAACAATTTGCAATTAAACATTTACCAATTTGTCGGATCATTGAATGTATTTAAAACAAACCCTAAGATTATAAGAAGATTTAAAATGCATAATATTGTTTGTTTATATACACGTTATGCTGTAAGTATACTTAACAAAGACGTCACGGTTCACTTGAGTTATGATTACTGCAAAGGGATTTTATTCGTGTATTATATTTGACCTAATAAGTCATTCTGTGCGGTATTGTTTTCTTTTATTTCTTTGTAGTTGTTTCAATATATTTTTGCATTTATTTCCAAAATTATATTTACAGATACCTACACATTTATTTCGAAAGCCTTAAGTATCTGTAAATATAATTTTGGAAGATAAATGCAAAAGTGCAAAGAAATAAAAGAAAACAATACCGCACAGAATGACTTAATACGTCAAATATAATACATGAAACAAATCCTTTTGTAGTAAATATAACTCCAATGAACCGTGACGTCAAAGTATACTAACAGCATGGCGTGTATAAACAATATTCTGTGTATTACTTGTTGGATTACAGAACGATATACTTGACTAATTATGGCAGTGTAAAACAGTTCCCATGGGTCAATCAATACCTATGTTAACCCTAGGAACTTGTTGATGAGAGTAGATCAACAACAGTTTCAAGAATACAGTTCTACTCAATTATTAATATATATCGAGACCACCTCGCTCGTTCGGTATTTCGGATATTTTCACTGGAGAAGTTTTCGCGGGTTTTTTTCACTTTTCATCTTGATAAACACCATAAACGATGTCAAATATAGTATTTCCAAAATTTGCTTTTACTGTATTCCGACACGACGTTTCTATCTCTATGATTGAAATGTTTAATCAGTTCCCATGATTAAAGGTCGCTGGTTTCAAATATTCTATTTTTTATGTGATTTTACATTAGGATGTTTAACGCTAGCAACACAGCCCGGAAGTTAAATGTAACGGACAAATAGAGAAAATATTCCACAGAGAATTTACTTAATATCAGCACATGAATAATTAACTTATTTGTTACGATCACTCTATCAGCAATTATGGTACACTATCAATGACCTAGCACACCAGAAAGTCACCGTCGCTTTATTACACTATTGATATTCGTCCAAAACCAAGGTCACCACTTGTTATGTCACAACACTTTAGTCAATAGATACGGAACGTATTATACTTATAAATAGAACGATTGTGGCGAATTATCGTGACAACTACATTGATATATTACCGATACTTTCCTCGAAATATACGTCGTTAATTAGACTATAAATACATGTACATCACGTATCTAACCATATTTTACCCATTATGATGATTTTCACATCACAAAAAGAACATAGAGGAATAAAATGCAATATAATGTTGTTCACATCACAAACATGATTGTATAATCATCAATTGTAAACGAAGCCGAAGTTATTTTTTTCTATCGGAACAATGTACACGAAACTGAAAATTGGTTCATATTTACGTGCTTTGCAGTTTAAATGATGTCTGATAAAACAAATATCTGTTAAAATGACATGAGACACGAATCAGAATCTTTGTGATGTATGAATGAGTTGCGCAAAATGTCTCGTAGAGTACAGGAACAATACAGTCCTAAGCTCCTGTTACTGCATTAGATATGTATATCATTGAATCATAAGAACATACAGGTAGATGTTGTATATGACTAAGCATGCGAAGTGACACTCCTGTCTTTGTTGTTTACATATAGAGGTCGCCCTTAATTGGTACCAGGCGCATGAACAGTATCGGTTACATGTTTACTCTCACGTGAATTGCAAATTTTCTGCTTAATTGAAAACCACGCCCAAAATGAAATTAACCTATTACAGTAGACGAATATAGATGGTAATAAAGCAAAAAAGGGTTTCGGAAAATGTCAGTGATCCTTTTAATAAAACTGAGTTTAATATTTATATGAATGTTAATATACAAAGATATGACGTAGAAAGTTTGATATTACAAATGTATACCGCGGTATATATCAGAACATAAGATGTTACTTTAAACAGACTAAAATAAAAAATAAATATTTAAAGGCTGTGCCAAGCGAAATATAATCCATCATCACGAACTCAATCCTACCAAATGTTTTGTTTACAAGATTAACACACAGCCTGTTACTGTGTTAACATTTCTAAATGAAATAAAGTTCATATCACAACGTCTATTGTAAATCATGTTATTTTATATCTCTCCTATCTTTGTATTGTTTTTGTCTAAAAGTTAACATGAACTACTAACTTTTAAAATAGTTTAATCAGTATCGAAAACCACGATTCATTTTTGAATAACATGAATCTGTGTGTTAGCGCCAAACAAGGACGGTTGTGGGTTCTGTTACCTTGACTGACCAAAAACACTTGAATGTGGAACATTCTGCGCTTTGCTGGATGTTCATATTAAGGTGGGTAGCGGTAGGGACTGGTTTACCCTTTGGCAGTGTAGTGTGACTAGGTGTTATACTGTGCTGGATTTCATCGGCTTGGTATAATAGTGAATAAGCACTTTAAAGTCAGGATCAGATCCGCACTACCATATATACTGCAATTTTGTCTTAAGAAAAGCAGAAGAAAGAAGGAGAACGGTGACGTTATTGTGTTTATTTACCTTTACAGAGGTGTTAATATGTATGCGATGCTGACTGGGAACCTGCCTTTCACTGTTGATCCCTTCAATATAAAAACCCTGTACAACAAAATGCTGAGCGGTCAAACTAATCCTCTTCCCGAACACGTAACAAAGGGTGAGTAGCCCATAGAACTTCCTGTAACCAGGCAACCTGTCAGCTGTCTGATTGTGACTGTTTAGTCTTTATTCCGTCTTTGTGTATTGCAGAGTTATCCTCTCTTGTGAGCAGGTATTGATTGTAACGTCATTTGTTTGTGAGAGCAACGTCATCAATTTTTGAGAAAACGACGTAATTTTCTCACACAAACCAATGACGTAACAATCAATACCTGTTCATAAGAGAAGATAACTCTGAAATACGCAAAGACGGAATAATGATGTCCCCCTTACATATGACAGTAAGTGTGTAAATGACGACCATTTATGTATATATAATTTGGCATGCGGTTTTGGAATAGTTATTGATTCACATGAAGGTTGCAATGTTGACTTATCTTGTGCTTTAGCAACATATACGTAATGTGTGATTCTTAGCTTGTTGTTGTAAATACAATAAGTATATTTCTTTCTTGAAACTACGTGAGCGCATGCCTCTACAATATGCGTTTCGAGCATTGCGTTCACTTTTATATGTAGACTTGCGATCATATAAGTTTATCAGTTGTCATATTTAATTTTGCGTTACACGTATTGTGAAATAAGGGAAATGGCAGTGATGATTTCCATATGTTATAGTATTGCTAAAATGAGTTGATAATATGCATATGTTATAGATATTTTAGCGATGGTGTGAATGGTAATGATGTAAATTTAGCAAAGAAATGTGTGAGATTTTATGAAATAATTTTGCAGTGATGAAAATATAGTATATAGACTCTAATTTCAGGTTAATGTGATAAATGATACACGCAACCAAGTATATATGTAATCGGATTGAACGTGATTGTACACCTTGTACTGTTGCTTCAGTGATGTTTTCCTTTTTTTCTTATGTCATTTTTGTTAAAGTTGTTTGTTTTCGTCAACGGTGAGCTTTGTCAAATGTCTATTTTACCAAACTGTTACCATATTTCATAATTCCACTACAGTGTACATATATAAGTAGTCAGTCATGCTTCCTTATAGTTGCGACCTTGTTGTAATATATGGTCATTCAATGATTTACCGACATGCCATCCAAACTAAAGCTGATGTATGATATAAAGGGTATATGTAAGATTAGACTGCCAGACAATCGAAGCTTCAGATGTGATTTTAGCATGTTTATCCACATAGATATCAATCGTATGTTCTTAATTGATATCCTGTCTCCCACGATAGCTGATTTACCCCATCACGCGAATATTGACTAGATCAGACCTGTATCTAATTAATCTACCTGTACAGGTTTCCAACGCACTACACAGGAAGGGTAGCAACCGACCAGTGTGAAAACGTTTCTTTGATGCGGGGTAACACATCCAGTACAAGTTGTCAGACAGCCTTTTTTATCAACCGTGTTCTGTAGTATATCTCTTTTTTTATTAGGGAAAAAAATGTGTCTAAATATTTCATTATTTCCTCTTGTGGGTATTTAAAGAACGCTATTTAATTGATTATATCTCATCTGTTTTTCAATCGAATAACACTATACATATTTTATTGATAGTTTTAAACATGAAACTCGCCCAGAGAGAATATTCAATTGAAATCAGTTTTTTTCTATTACCGTTTTACTCTAGTCGTAGTACCATATATCCGATTACATTTCAGAATAGTCCCTATCACTGAAAAAAAAAACTTTTGACGAATGATATACCGTTGTTATTTCAGGATTATCAAACCCACATTTCCGTTAATGATTTTCCGCTATCATGTCAATTTAATCAACCCATATTTCTATAAGCGATATACCGTAATCATATCAACGTGTTATCAACCCATATTTCCATGAATGATATACCGTAGGTATGTCAATGTGTTATCAACCCACATTTCCATGAATGATATACCGTAATTATGTCAATGTGTTATCAACCCATATTTCCATAAGTGATATACCGTAAGTATGTCAATGTGTTATCTACTCACATTTCCATGAATGATATACCGTAATTATATCAACGTGTTATCTGCCCACATTTCCGTGAATGATATACCGTAAGTATGTCAATGTGTTATTAATCCACATTTCCATGAATTATATACCGTAATTATGTCAATGTGTTATCAACCCATATTTCCATAAGTGATATACCGTAATTATGTCAATGTGTTATCTACCCACATTTCTATGAATAATATACCGTAATTATGTCAATGTGTTATCAGCCATAATTTCCATGAATGATATATCGTAATTATCTCAATATTATCAACCCACATTTCCGTTAATGATATTCCGTTATCATGTCAATGTTATCAACCCATATTTCTATTAGTAATATACCGTAATTATGTCAATGTGTTATCAACCCATATTTCCATGAATGATATACCGTAATTATGTCATTACGTGATATATTTTTTTATTATTTAGTTATGAGAAACTAATATGTACTCATTTTTTTATAATTATGTTGATAAGGTAACTGAATTGCATGCAAATATATATATCGTACAAATAAAATGAACAATCAGCGTCGTCATCAGTAAACGAAAACACGCACTAATTATTTTTAAAAAAAAGTTTGAATTTTTATTACCATCACCAGAAACAAATAACTTGATAACCATATTTTTCACGGAAAATATTGTATCGTAATTGATTTTTCTGTGATATAAACGGACAGCCTTTTAGCATGAGAATTAATCTACGGGATGGGATTTCCTCAAATCTAAATCATTGTCAGATACATTGTACATGTATATTTATACAGTAGCATTATTAATGTACAGTGTAATGTCTCTTAAGTGTGGGTGACATATATAGTCAGTATGTATGTATGTGTGTAGGGTGTGAATTTGTGATATATATTTTGTATGTAAATGTGTGCATTCGCTAAAATATATAATAATTAAACTTTTCATTCGGCTTAATAATAAGAATTCTATCAATTTTGGCCTATTACCGATCTTAAAAAATACTAACTTGTATGTTCCCTGTATCATTTATCAAGCTGGTAGGTCATATAATGTATTTTCTGTTCCTAAGGTATTTCTTTTCGTTACAGAATGTCGTGAACTGTTAAAACGTTTCCTGACTCCCGAGCCTGAGAAACGTATCACCCTTGATGACACGATGAAACATTCTTGGGTGGCAGAAGGTATTAATGTTAATAACGTTAAAGTTATGTGAAAATTCCTCACTTACATTTAAAGCTTTTTTTTGGCCTGCTTGAAGTGTCTTTGTAGCGCTAGGTGTTCAGTTTAGACCGTTTTATCGATATAAATACCATGTCCGTTGTGTGCCACAGTCTTATTCTACGCCGAAAACAGTAATTATAACATACTGAATACGTTTATATTTACATAACGATATTTTAATGCATTAATGAACATAGTTTATATAAATACATGTGAATATTTTCACAATGTGTGCTTTATTTTGCGATTTCTCTGACCTGATTGATATGCTATTTATGATTGATGAATCTGATTGTTAATTATTGTGATTAGTCAGTTAAACGTTTGGGGATATGTGTACAGCACGTGTCAAGCGTAAAGTAGTCCGCGCGTTAGGGCCCATGTACCCGTTTCGAGTATATGTAATTTCCTAGAGGCCAAATCTATGCTTAAAATCTTTTTCGCCTCAAATAATTATAAGCTCCCATCCACTGATACCAATCCTCTTCACTTTGCNATGAATGATATACCGTAATTATGTCAATGTGTTATCTACCCACATCTCCATGAATGATATACCGTAATTATGTCATTACGTGATATATTTTTTTATTATTTAGTTATGAGAAACTAATATGTACTCTTTTTTTTATAATTTTGTTGATAAGGTAACTGAATTGCATGCATATATATATATATCGTACAAATAAAATGAACAATCAGCGTCGTCATCAGTAAACGAAAACAAGCACTAATTATTTTAAAAAAATGTTTGAATTTTTATTACCATCACCAGAAACAAACAACTTGATAACCATATCTCTCTCCGAAAATATTGTATCGTAATTGATTTTTTTGTGATATAAACGGACAGCCTTTTAGCATGAGAATTAATCTACTGGATGGGATTTCCTCAAATCTAAATCATTATCAGATACATGTATATTTATACAGTAGCATTATTAATGTACAGTGTAATGTCTCTTAAGTGTGGGTGACATAGTCAGTATGTATGTATGTGTGTAGGGTGTGAATTTGTGATACATATTTTGTATGTAAATGTGTGCCTTCGCTAAAATATATAATAATTAAACTTTTCATTTGGTTAACCTTAATAATAAGAATTCTATCAATTTGGGCCCATTACCGATCTTAAAAAATACTAACTTGTATGTTTCCTGTATCATTTATCAAGCTGGTAGGTCATATAGTGTCTTTTCTGTTCCTAAGGTATTTCTTTTCGTTACAGAATGTCGTGAACTGTTAAAACGTTTCCTGACGCCCGAGCCCGAGAAACGTATCACCCTTGACGACACGATGAAACATTCGTGGGTGGCAGAAGGTATTAATGTTAATAACGTTAAAGTTATGTGAAAATTCCTCACTTACATTTAAAGCTTTTCTTTGGCCTGCTTGAAGTGTCTTTGTAGCGCTAGGTGTTCAGTTTAGACCGTTTTATCGATATAAATGCCATGTCCGTTGTGTGCCACAGTCTTATTCTGATATCAATGATCAAATTGACGTATACGCCGAAAACAGTAATTATAACATACTGAATACGTTTATATTTACATAACGATATTTTAATGCATTAATGAACATAGTTTATATAAATACATGTGAATATTTTCACAATGTGTGCTTTTTTGCGATTTCTCTGACCTGATTGATATGCTATTTATGATTGATGAATCTGATTGTTAATTATTGTGATTAGTCAGTTAAACGTTTGGGGATATGTGTACAGCACGTGTCAAGCGTAAAGTAGTCCGCGCGTAAGGGCCCATGTACCCGTTTCGAGTATATGTAATTTCCTAGAGGCCGAATCTATGCTTCAAATCTTTTTCGCCTTAAATAAGCTGCCATCCTCTGATACCAACCCTCTTCACTTTGTTGCTGTAAAGTTTTCACTCTCTATCATGTAAACAGTGTAAATGTTTCTGAGCATCGTTTAATGGAATCTTGAGATTTTCTTCCATTTTGAGTTCATTTGAGACTTTACAAATGCAGGGCGACTCTTTCATAAACCAGAGACGTATAAAGCCATATACGTCTCTGCATAAACAGAATACATTACTGTAAAGATATACTGTTTTCTTATCTTACTAATAGGAAAGGGTATTGCGATGGAACGAGCACCTTGTCCGAACAAACTACGGAACGACGAACTAGATGACAACATCATGAAACACATGACAGAATCACAAGGGTTTCGACTGTCAGAGGTGATCCGATTCGTTATCGGAAACATCCCTAGTCCTGCCTTAGCAATGTATCATATCCTTCACCGGAAGTTGGTTCGGTATATGGCAGACATGCGTGTGAAGGGAAAAGTGTCTGCGATGGATTCACCAATGTTTGGTCACAAAAAAGTATCTCTAGTCTTTCAGGTAAACATTAACTGCATTCAGATACTATTGTAATACATTCAATAAATTCAAGTTCGTGTTTCTAACATGAAAATCTGAGTGTAGCGAAGGGCTGGTATAAGACTTCTGCCAACAATCCTACTTTATGTATAGGTCTTTAATCTGTATCGACAAAGGGAACTAAGAAAACTACAGGTATTTTAATCACCTACAAATGTAAAACAAAAAAATATACATGTATTAAATTTTCGTATTGTCATTTTAATGTCGGTCTAACGAAACTTACACCCGCTCGACACCATAAACTAGTTGAGAATAGGGTAAACTGAACGTGAGAGTTTCCTTTGCAGAAGCAATATCAAGATGTATCAAGATAATAATTTTTAATTTAGAAATGTTCTGTTTACTATAGACATTACGGTTATAAAGTTCTCGTTATTAACAAAAATTGTACGCTAGCTTCATAAATTCGCAAGTTATACAATGAAATATCATCGATTACTATACCCAACGTTTCGTTTGTGTCACAGAAAATCAAAGCTCGTCGTAACTCTGCCGGTAGCGAGGACAGCCAGACAACTAACACTCAGAGGTTCGGTGCTGTCAACTACATGGCCAAGAAAAAACATACTCGAGTAGAGAAAGTCGACGACGTGAAAATAACAGACATGGAAAACGATGAAAATGATCAGACGAAAAGTAAGGATGCTAAGAAATTGTTCCTGTTTCTCTAATGAGGCTATTTTTTTAAGTAAAATATTAGATGAAACAATTCTTAATTTTTACACCGTATGTTTTAGGAATAGGCACGTTGTATCGTTTTAGCTCACCTGGCCCAAATAGCATACATAGGTTTTACCGTGGCACAGCGTCCGATCGGCATCAACTTCTTCTTAATGCTTTAAACGAATAGGCCCATAGAAATTTTATTCGGTCAGTAGGTACCTTGTAAGTGTAGTACCCTCAAAGTCGTAGCATTAAATATATGTTGTTTTCAATACAAGGTCCAGAGCCATGATGCATGGGTAAGCGAACTTTGAACACTGCTGTGGTGTGTTAAAGGTTTTTAAAAAATGTACTTCAAATTACACAAATCCATGGTCATGAGTTTTGGGGAACTAGATGCGAATGTACCAAGGTCGCTTTAAATATCTTTTCATATAAATGAACTTTACCAATGTTCAACTTGACATTTATTTATAATACGTCAAATGAGTTCGTTTGAAGATCAACAAGATCTAGTAGAATGATGAATGTGTTGCTTATTGGAATAAAGGAATGTATCAATGTAAAATTAAATTAAATAAGTCGACCCACTTTTAAGAACACAGATATGAACAGGTGAGCGATACAGTCCTAATGGGCCTCTTGTTTCATATATATTTTTTCTTCGTTTCTTTGTTTTTTGTCTTTTTTTCCTATCGATGTTATTGAAAGTCATTATTCAAATTATCTTTAAATTGATCATTTTAGAATCCCGAGTCATATGATCGTTACATCTATTCTACAGCATGGACATGTACTTGACTACTTCAATAGCTATTAAATGAGGTCACTAAACTAAGTATTCAGTCAGAAAGGGTCTCCTTATTTTATCTCTGCAAAGGAGAATTTTGGAAGGAATATTGTTCATGTGTGGATTGTGGGGGCGGGGAGAAATGAATGCATGCGCTTAATTTATTTCCATAACATGTAATACGTGGTTATTAACATATGAAAAGCGATGTTACATCGCTGTTATTGTCTAATATGCATTTACCATTTACGCATCAGTTTATATGCATTCCTGTCGGGTTGATTTTGAGTGAAAAATTTTGGTTTGATTATTTCATTACTTTTTGGAGTAAATTATCCATGCTCAATACGTAAACATTCGCCAGGATCTAACCATTACCCTGATATAAATAAGAACAATGGCGTTGAAATGCAACGCATTCGTTTACACAAACTCTCCCAACGCCGCTATCCAGTAGTGTCATATCAAACAATCTATGTTGAGATAAACTCATTTGAGGATACTTGCCCTCACAACGATAGCATCGATCTGGCACTAAACATGTCAAGTTGTGTAAGCTTGATGGAACAAGCATTGCTGTATAATGTAAGACTTCCATAAATAAAATATTGCCATTGGTGCTTACGAAATCATCGGAGTAACATTATCTTATTTTATGTTTCGTTACGAATCACTACTGTAAGAAAGTTATCACACAGCAATACGTTATACACAGTCGTAAAGCTGACTTGTCATTTGGCGTTTGATTATTTATTGCTAACGTCAGTTTATCTAACGATGGGATTTGTGGTGATGGCTAGGTGAAGGAACCTCACAGATTAAATGTATTCATGTGTTACTGAGGAAACGATACTTATAGTAACCGGGTCATTGCCAGGCGTTACAAGGTAGGGTATCGTGCGTGGTAGTGGTGACCACGGTGAACGGGGTGAGGATGATAATGACTTCTTTCATCAGGGACCATCATAGCGTGTGTACACTATTGACATAAGAGAACACTGTAAATACAACAAGGGGCAGTTGAATATAACGTGCTAACACCTGCTTATCCATCACAAGTGAATAAATTCCCAGCACGAACGTTCCACTGCTGTGTTATAATGACGTGCGGGGTGATTTCCTCGGTTAATGAGTTTTTGTAGGACTTAATCCGCCGTAAAGCGTGGATTTTCAGCACGTACATTGCAAGGTCAGAGGATTAGAACGTGTGTGGTGGTTTTCTGTTTTCCGTTGTTATTCATTAAGAGAGGTTTATGATAGGTCATGTGAACTTACAACGTTACCTGGAAAGGTTGCTTTACACGAACAATAAACATACAGAGGAAGATTTATAGACACAATTGTGTGGGGATCTCTCACATCAAGTCAAAGTTGTTTATATTACATTTATATAGCAAAATAAAATAAAAACTTTGTCCTTTTCTATATCTCCCATTGAGAGTGTTAGATTGTGTTCCCACGTCGATATTCGTTCTTCAATATTTCATGGTTACTGTACATTTGTAAGTAGTGTTTGCGTCCTCTGTATTTTAGTCATTGTTGTGTGTTGAAGTAATAACATTTTAATTGGTTTTGTATTCAAAACATTTTTTTTTATTAAATGCAGTTTTCTCTCATCGAGTTATATTCCTGTGTTGTAGCATTTGAAAGGGAGGCAATTGACGTAACAAGGACGGAACAGACGAAACTATCTTTTTGTAAGTCCCCACTGCCCATACGACGCGAGACGACCTACCTTCCAATTGTTCCTGGAAAGGTGATAGTACGGGGTGCTGGTGTTTCGCATGACCTGCCTCCTTCCCCAGACTTACATAGTGAGGACATAGGGAGTGACAACTGTGGAACCGCTGATGGTATAGACTCGCACAGCACCGTCAACAAACGTTCCAATTACCGACCTCATATGATGCCTCCAAGACGCCATCTTAGCCGGGTGAAGCAATATTTATGGGAGGATCCATTACCGTCAGCAGAAAAAGGAAATGCCGAGACGGCTGATGTGTTAGTGCGTCGTCTAATCAAGCGATGCAATACAGACCTTACAGTGAATATGAAGGGCAATAAACCCCGCTTTCAGAGGGCGCAACATCATCCGGATAACGTCACTCATCAAATGTGCAATGGACAAAATAACGTCTATATTAGACGAACAGAAGTTAAAATAGTAAATAACAAGAAACTAATACATCTAGATTACTCGCCTTGTGGTGGAAACAAAGACGTCAAGCATGTGGTGACTACAGCACATGGTGCTACACA